AGTAGTTCCTGAGCAAGTATATTCTGGCACAGTTCAAAATCTTTGGAAGATCTAATAGACGTGGCTCAATTATTTAAGTAGACCACACAAGTCATAGATTACTAACCATCAAATTAGATACTGCCTTTGGGTTGGCCATCAATCCTTGCTTCATTTAGCACCAGGGGAAGTTAGACTGAGAGGTCTTATGATATGTGGATCTGTCCCTTTCTGGGTCATGGCTGGAATAAACACAAAGGTACACACCTATTAAAGAGAAAGGCAAAGTGGTGCAAGGAAGCCATGTCCATGCTATGGCGTAGCATGGGTGACTGAATGGTGGGCACACAGGAATTGACACTCAAAGTCCGAGTGCTGTTCAACAATGGGAAGGCACAGGGAGGGGCTGAGTGGTGATGGGAAGGCAGTCAAGGATCCTGAATGCAGCATACACACAGACCCCATTAGGAACCCAAGTGCACCACATCTAAGACAACTGGACTGAGTGATGATCCACTCCAGTGGCTGTATGAAAACCTTGTGCTATTCTCAGGTGAGAAACCAACTGGAAACAAGAACAAGACTTGAGTTCTATTTAATCATCTTGTCTGAGGGGTGAAGGGATGTTTCCCCATCTCAGTTCTTTAACTGGAAAGTGGGCACCACAGAGTTGTTAAGTGAGCAAGTATGACAGCACTTTCATTAATTAATTGGTAGGCCCCATTTTAATTAACACCATCCTAGCTAATTAGTCATTTCAGGGTGTGCAACACCAGCTGTGTAAGCTGGAGGACACGATGAGGGCAAAAATAAACTCTGCTCTCCCTCCAATTTATTAAGTTTGTATTGTTTTCTGTTTCATGTGCGGGGCATCAGGGGAAACATAAACTGAACCTTCTATTCCTGCCTCTGACCTTATGAAATTAGCCTCATCTTGGAGTAAGTGGCTAAGAGTAAAAAAGAGTATGGACTCCAAAATTCATACATGTGGGTTTGGAATGTTGGCTCTTCCATTTATGAACCGTGTGACCAGGGGCAAATATTTAACTTCTCTGGTCCTCAAACTTTCCTACCTAAAAATGGGAATAAGAATACTACTCACTGCAGACATGTGGTGTGAGGGTTAAATGAGTCATCAAAGTAAAGGGCCCGGTGTAGCACAGGTACTTAACCAGTGTTAGTCCCCATCGTCCCCACTGCCATCCCATTCACTCGGGTAGCACCTCCTCACCCAGCAAGGCTCAGCTCCACCACCACCTCCTCTAAGATGGCGCCCCTGAGTCCCAAATCTGAGTCAGGTGTCCCTCCTCCCTGCGTCTGCATGTTTATTCCTATCACAAAACTGGCTTTGAATCTCCCGTCTATGTGTGTCCTCAACTGGTGCCCACATCCCGTTGGTGAGCGATCGTGGTTATTTTATAAGATTCAAACAAAAATCGCATTTTTCTAGTATATGGTAGATCTTCAAATGGCTACCAAGTTAGTACGACATAAACACTAAATTGTTTGGATGTAACAGCGTAACAAAATTACCCAGGGTTTCTTTTAGCCTACATGTACCCTGAAAAAATTACTGAGACATCAAGGGTGCCCAGTGTGAACCAAGAAAGTTCAGGAACCTCTGGCATAAGGAAATGATGATGTGCTGAATCAGAGAAAAGACAATACTTGACATTATTGTTATAACCTGGCAGTTATAAAAGTGCCCTAATTACTAGCTAACAGGAAACGGAGCCCTTTCTACTTCTAGGCATTGTTCTGAGCATTTAGTTGTGCTTCCAGTAAAGGGGTCATGTGTATTCACTCCTTTAATCCCTTCAAAAGGCCTAAAACAAAAAGTTTCTTTCTCCCACTGACAGAAGAGGAAACTGAGGCCTGTAGAGAATGAGTCACTTGCTAACGGGCCACCAAACAGGCTGATGCTGGAGCTGGGATTCAAACGTAGGCATCCTCTCAGACCCACGGCTCTTAACCACCTGCTAACCGAGGCTGCAGGGAGGCAGAGAAGGAGACCCAGCTGAGCTAGAGCTGAGCTGTCTGGATGGCACAATCTACAGAATTTAGGGATGGATTTTAGAGACAGGAAATGTTTTGGGGTATTTGCCTAGCCCACTTTCTTCAGAAATGCTCCTCCCCACACCCTGCTGACTCTGGGCATTTGTGGTCCCGACCCCCGCCCTTGACCATATCCACAGGTTCCCTGCCAGGTGACCCAAGCTAGGCCAAATGAAGCTTCTTCCAAGGACCTGGAGACTGACACACTGAGTTGCTGCTTTTCCAAGCCTATATCAATCAACCCAAACGGATGGTTCTTGCCCCAGTAATGACTGGATACAGAAGGGAAGGTTTACAACTTCTTGCTTTTGAGGTAGCTAGCTGGCCTGCTCCTTCCCCATTGCTATGCTTCTTGAGGCTGATCTGTTCAGTGATTTTGCAGATTCCCTGAGATCTGTACCCTGCCAGTAACTCACTTGAGCCAGATTTGCTAGATTTCCGTTCCTTTTAAGCAAAGGATGTTTAACTGGAACCCTGAACATGGATGTCCTAAAATACAGAAAAGACAGAAAATACCTCCCCCTCAAAAAAAAGGGCAGGGGGAGGCACTACCCCCATTGCTAAATATTTAGCCCCTTAAATTGGGTGGCTGCGAGTGTCCTTCAGACTGTAGACTTTGGCTGGGCCAACGCCCCTTAGAAACCAGGCAGATCTGAGGAGTTCACAAAAACAAACAGTTCGGAAAGGCAGCTTTCTGCACTGCCAGAGGGGTCAACAATCTACCAGGCAATTACACTGCTGTCAGATTGTAAATACACATTTGCAAATGCCTCTGTAATTGCTCCGAAACAGTTTAGGCCTGTTCATGCAGGGCCAGTTACTGAATGTTAATGGAGAGCTTACCCAACATCTGCCTTCAAGGTTGGAGCCAGATTTGTGCCATTTCCATGTTTATGGGTATAAAGCAGCAGATCAGGCATTTTTCCTCTGCGAGTTCTCAGAAAAGAAAAACTCTGAAGCAGTGGGCAGTTGCATGGCTGACTGAATGGGTTTGGTGTGGCCATCACATTTTCAGCTATACCAGAATCTTCCTAAAACTGGCTTGGCTTTCTAAAATTCTTGTAGCAGTCAGTAAGATAGGAAATTGTCGTCATGGACTTAAGGTTATGTTGCTTTTTTTTTTTTTTAAAGATTTTATTTATTTATTTGAGAGAGAGAGAATGAGAGAGAGCACATGAGAGGGGGGAGGGTCAGAGGGAGAAGCAGGCTCCCCGCCGAGCAGGGAGCCCGATGCGGGACTCGATCCAGGGACTCCAGGATCATGACCTGAGCCGAAGGCAGTCGCTTAACCAACTGAGCCACCCAGGTGCCCCAAGGTTATGTTGCTTTATGCACTGATCTCCCTGACCTCATACAGGATGGTTAATACTGTAATTAAATGAAGAAATTCCTGCTAACTCGAAGCACGACATATGGAAATGGCCATGTAAGAAGTGGTAGATCTAAAGGGATGCAATTGAGAATGTTTGTCTTTTTGACTTTTCATTTGGGGCTTGTGCTCAAAACCAGTGTTTTTCTGCTTTCATCATCTTAAGACAGAGAACATTATCTCTTCCGATTGGTGGGCATATGGGCCTCTTAAATTCCTTCATTTCAGTTGCTCTGGATGATGACTGCTAAACCCACCAACACCCATGGGCGTCTTGTGTATGTCACAGAACCCATGTGTTAAAGGTCAGATCATCCCAAATTCTAACTGCTGGCAACATTTCAAGTTTGGGTGAATATCCATCTAGCCATTTTCAAGTGTTATGGTATATTACTTAGGGTCATAGCTCTGCTCTAACAAAATGACCCCAAGTAACAGTGGCAGATAAATGACAGAATTCTATTCTTCTCTCACATAACAGGCCCAAGTGAACAGCACTGGGTGGCAGGTTGCTTTACTCCAAAGAGGCATTTAGAGATCCAAACTCCTACCCCCTTTGGGTTCTGCCATCCCCCCAGGAATTGTCCTCATTTGTATGGCCAAGGCTGGATTCCAGGTAAATCCATGTTGCAGCTCCTGGAAAGGGGAAAGAGAGTCCAAGGAAGCTTATCTCTTCAATTGGAGATGACCTGCAAGGTCAACTTTCACTCACATCCCATTGGCCCAAATTGAGTTCCAGAGCCACATTTAACTGCAAGGATTCCTGGGTAATGCCATTTCTTACTGGGGAGCTAGGAGCTTTGCTTCAACTCTACTGCCAGGGAGGAGAAGGTGGATAGATTCTGATGGCTGGCCAGAAGTTTCTAGTATAACAACAGACAGAAAGAGATATTACCTCTCACAGATAAAATAAATGCCACATGGTCATATATTCAACAAATATTTATTAAGTGCCTACTATGTGCCAGATACATGTGTACAAAAAAATATTAACATGCTGTGGGTGAAATTATGCAACACTATGAACACATTTTTCCACTTTTGAAAGACTTTTGCTCTCTCAGGTAATACAGGGCAAGTGGGAAAAAGGCAAGGTTTTTTACCTTCATATTGCAGGGAAAATAGTCGCACCTGTCAATTGCCAACAGCTTGCATTATTGTTGTTCTTATGGATAAGGAGACACAAAATCCTCTTAGCTATTTGGATGGTGGTCTCATAAATCATAACTTGTTTGTAGCATGCTTACTTAGTTTCAGGAAGATCTCTTCAGAGGATGAAATCAGATCATTGAGATTAAACTCCATTTCAAAGATGGGTTTTTTCCCCAAAATAATTAAGGCAAGGAACAGGGCAAATTTTGCAGTTATTCCCTTGATTTGGTAAGTGACACCATCTTCAGGGTTTGTGTACTCAAAGCAATGAATAATAACATGATGACCATAACGTGTCAGGTAATTCTGGTGGTAGACATGTGGATGCAGGAAATATTCCAGAGGCACCAGGAACACACTCTTAACTTCATCGGGATTAGGCTGGGCCTGGAAGTTGTGGTCTATAAATCCTACAACTGGGGTTATCAATGTATCACTCTAAAAGCAGAAAACAAAATACACAAATTAAGAAAAGAGTCCAAAGCAGGCAATGATATAAGGTGGGTAGGGAAGGAGGAAGAATTTGCTCCAGACATGAACAGTCATGTCCCCTGTGAAATGGGGGTAGTCTCACCCCTACCTGAGCCAGTGTTTGTGAGATGACTCTGAAAATGTATCTTTTGTGAACATACTGGTATAATCTTTTGGAAGGGCAATCTGGCAATGTTATAAAAATGTGGTCCCTTTGACCTAGCAACTGCATTTGCATAAATATATCTGTATGATAAATTCCTACCAGTGAGAAAAGATACAAGACCGAAGCATTTTTTTTAAAGATTTATTTATCTGAGAGAGAGAGAGCGCGCACAAATAGGGGCAGCAACAGAGGGAGAGGGAGAAGCAGGCTGTCCTCTAAGCAGGGAACCAAATACGGGGCTTGATCCCAGAATGCTGGGATCATGACCTGAGCTGAAAGGCAGACACTTAATCGACTGGGCCACCCAGGCACCCCTGGACTGAAGCATTATTTGCAATAGCCCCAAAATAGAGTTATCACTCCTCCACTGATGGACATTCAGGGTAGGTCAATTATGAGTGTATCTGTGTAATGGGATACTCTGCAGCCCTCAAAATGAATGTGATAAGACACCATTCCCTGTCAGTACAGACAAGGATGTGCCATCTTATCGATAGAAAAATGACATATTAACTGTGGCATATACCCAGTTATGGGAAATTGCATTTATAATTATATATGAACTATTTTACATAACAGATATTTATAAGGGAGGGGGGATTTCTATTTATAACCACAACTGCTTGCAAATGAATGCACGGTATTATTTTTTATTTTTTTAAAGATTTTATTTATTTATTTGAGAGAGAGAGAATGAGAGACAGAGAGCATGAGAGGGAGGAGGGTCAGAGGGAGAAGCAGACTCCCTGCCGAGCAGGGAGCCCGATGCGGGACTCGATGCCGGGACTCCAGGATCATGACCCGAGCCAAAGGCAGTCGCTTAACCAACTGAGCCACCCAGGCGCCCCAAATGCAGGGTATTATTAAGTGAAAGACCTGCTGGGAATCTCCAGGGTGAGGCCTGGGGTTTAGTGTGGAGCTGCATAATAAGAGAAGAGCTGCATAAGCTTGAAGTGGAAAGTAAGAAGAATCTGGAGTTCTTGGGGGACATTCCAAGAGAAAGTGGCTGGGAAAAGCCAGGGATATACCTTGAGGCTGGGACACGAGAGCAGGATAAACCGGTCTGTGGAAAATTCTCAGGGGAGTGAGAGCTGAAGCATGTTTAAGAACAGTGATGACTCAGACCATTAACTGAATTAATGGTGAAAGTCAGTATCTGGACCAGGAGTGGAAGACGGGAGCGTAGACTTTAGCTGTCCTTCCGGTGGGAAATCTGGGGTCCTAAGCGGCCCCAGGGCAGAAGCAGTGTTCCACTAGCTGTGATCACCGCCTGGCCCTGAGGGAATGCTCAGCCTCTTTGGCCACAGGGTTCCCCAGGAGCCCTGGGTGTCTGGGAGATGGGGCACACTCAGATGCGAGTGATTTCTTAAGGAAGTGCTCTCAGGACAAAGCATGAGGTAGGGAGCAAGGCAGGCGAGGGCCCTGCAGGGCATCTGGGCGTGAAGTACACCACAGAGCTGGGCTGTCATGCCCCCCCCAGCACAGTCACTGGTGAAGGGCTGGCTGGCCAAGTACATTCTCAGGCCCTCCAGGCTCCCTGTGAGCAGGGAAGGGTGGAAAGCTGCAGGTGTGAGCTTTCAGAAACACAGGAAGAGGAATATGAAAGGGTCTGGACAGACAGAGCCCACAGTGTTGGCTCAGCGTGCGGTTTGTGGTTGCTGCCACCATGAAGTAACCACAGCCGCTGGGGCCCTGGACTAGTACCCAGCACCCTCCCTGCTTCTTCACAACAGCCTGACCCTGAAGGAGTTTTAACAGGGGAAATCAGAGACCTGAAGCGACCTGCTCAAGGTCACGGCCGGGTAATACTTGGCAGAGACCAGGACTCACCGGCCTGCTGCCCACACTCTAGAGCACAGTGCTTAAGGGCTATGAAGACACACGTCGCCATATCTCAAAGAGATGGCACATCAGCCTCGCGCAGGTGGAGAGGTCTCAGCTGCAGCTCGGATTCAAGCTCTTCCTGAGGGCTGAGCTACGAGCACAAACTCATCCTCACTCTAAGGGCCCAACTGCTAGGCAGGGGTGTGGACAAGCAACTTAGTGTGGTCAGTACTGGCCCTCGGACTCGCGTATCAGAGTCTGAGGAAGTAATTGGTAGGAAAAAAAAAAAATCAAAGCCATAGGGGAGATAATAGTTTAGGACTGAACATTTCAGATGGGAAGTCAGGCACGTTCACCATGGTTCAAGCTTAGAGAAGTCAGCGAGACTCTGGAAATTTGTGGAGGAAGCAGCATGTCTGGACACACAGTTCCCAACACACAGGTGTCTGTCTTGGAGGGAAAGAAGGATGGTGGGTGCATGGCAGACGTTGTAGGACCAAGGAAAGACTGCACTTCGGCCACTTGCTGAGTTGGAATCCCGTGGAGATTGGCTTCTGCTGTGGCCACAGGGACGAGGCCTGCTTCAGGGCCCCGGAAGGAGGCCAGCTGCTCTTAGAAACATTCCCAGGAAAGGACACGCCACCGAAAGGCACCAACATGTTTCCAGGAGTCGAAGCTTCGGAGGGGGTGAGGTGAAGGAGAGTGACTGGAAATGCGTGGGCCATGGGCAGAGAAGAAGGAGAAATGTCTCCGGAGGCCACTGCAAACGGCAGTACATACGGCAGAGCGACTCCTGGGGTGGGCCTGGAGGGCCATCGCCTGCCCTGGGGGGGTAGCAGGAGGTGGGAAACAGCCAACAGCACCTCCTCTAGCTCTGACACCCAAAAACATCTCCAGGCATTGCCATGTTCCCTGGGGGACAAAATCAGCGCTTGTTAAAAACCACTGAATTAGAGGGGCGCCTGGGCGGCTCAGTCGGTTGAGCGACGGCCTTCGGCTCAGGTCATGATCCCGGAGTCCCGGGATCGAGTCCCGCATCGGGCTCCCTGCTCGGCGGGGAGTCTGCTTCTCCCTCTGACGCTCCTCCCTCTCATGCTCTCTGTCTCTCATTCTCTCTCAAATAAATAAATAAACTCTTAAAAAAAAAATTAATTAAAAAAAAAAAACCACTGAATTAGATTCTGCTTGTAAGTGTTAAATCAGTGGTACTTTTGCACTACATTTAAAAGATGTGCAAGGTCTAAAAACAAAACCACCCTCGCTAGCAGTTCCAAACACAGGACGCCCGTTCTGGAAAGCCTTTGTTCATTCTAACTTCTTGATAAGGTGATCGGCATCATTATATCAACAGGAGGTCGTTTTAGAAATCTCCGGCCTCAGGAGCGTCTGGCCCACCGACATCTCCTGAAGACCAGACATCCTCCTGTGGAGACTGTCATATTCTCTTCACAGGCAGGACTCAGTAGCTCCCGGGTGCCTTGGAAATAGGAGTTACTCTCACTTTGGAAACTTCTTACCATTAGGGTTCAATTTGTCAATAGAGTTTTAAAATAAATCCCCCAACTAGGCTGGGGGATTTGCAGATGCCGAGCGGAAGGGGTTCCCATTAGAAAACACAGTTGCCTAGGAAGTAATTGATACATTTCTTGTCCTAATCCCATGTTTTCCCCTCTCATTTAGGAAGCATTTACTTGAGAGGCCATTAGCTTCTTCCGAACTAAATCTCCCTTGAGTGGTGACCTTTCTGTTTTGAAAATGGGCCTGATTAAGATAGATGTCTCAGCATCACTGATCATCACAACACTGTACCACCAAGACTGTAAGGCAAACAGAACATAAAGGATGGTCGGACCCACTGGTTTTCTAATTGTTATGCATCGGTGGGACTCTCCTCTTGAAATAAAAATGTACCTGAAAGTCCAATGTATAAAACATACAGTTTACACCTACTTCCAATATGTGATTAGAGCACTTCCCTGTGGTATTCTTCCCCCAAGCCCATAACCCTAGCTTAACCGTGAGGAAAATATCAGGTAAATCCCAAATGGAGAGGCATTCTACAACATACCTGACCAGTGCACAGAAGAAGTGTCAAGGTCACGAGAATAAGGAAAGTCTGAGAAACTGTCACAGACCAGAGACTAAGGAGACATGACAAACAAATACAATACAGTATCCTAGATGAGATCCAGGACAGAAAGGAAGACATTAGTAGAAATATTAGTAAAAGGCAAATAAAGTGTGGAGTTTAGGTAACAGCAGAGTACTAACATTGGTTTCTCAGTTGTGAGTTGTGACAAGTAGACACCAGTGGCATAACGTGTTAACAATGGGAGGAACTGGGTGCGGCTACATGAGAACTCTCTGTAGTATCTTTGTAACTTTTCTGTAAATCTGTACCTATTCTAACATTGCAAGTTTATATTAAAATTTTTAAACCAATGAAATAATGCTGTTATTCGAGCATAAATTTACAACATTTACTCCATCTGAAGTCAATTAATACAAGTTATAAGTTCACGTGAAATAAGATCTGGGTATTATATGAGTCCCAGAATTCATTTTGTTGCTTTCATGGTTTTTTTTTTTTTTCTTCATGTATACAATCAAGGAAATCCTGATTCATAGAGAAATGTAGTTACAGGGGCGCCTGGGTGGCTCAGTTGTTAAGCATCTGCCTTCGGCTCAGGTCATGATCCCGGGGCCCTGGGATCGAGCCCCACATCGGGCTCCCTGCTCTGCGGGGAAGCCTGCTTCTCCCTCTCCCACTCCCCCTGCTTGTGTTCCTCTCTTGCTGTCTCTCTCTCTGTCAAATAAATAAATAAAATCTTTAAAAAAAAAAAGAAATGTAGTTACAAATAGTAATAGTTCTTAAACAGCTTGCCTAGTGATCTCAGGGTACTGCTCAATTAATGTGATATGGAGAAGATTGATTCCAAGGTATGTATAAAAATTAGTGTATTTAGGACAAAGGTAATGCACTGGTGGCCTCCAAGAAGCTAAAATTTGGAACACAGCATGCGCAAGTGTGTGGTATTTGTTCAAAAGAATTCTCAAAAGAAATGTATACTGGCGAAAAATAAATGTAAACTGAATCTTAAAGAAAGAATTCTGAAGCATCTACAGGGTTCTACAGGATCCAGTTTGAAAACGATGATGGAGTTTGACCCTTTCATTTCTGGATGGGCAAAGAGGGGCCCAGACAGGCAAGGGGGCTTGCCCAAGGCCAGTCAGCTCACAAGGGGCAAAGCCCACAGAAGAGCCAGTCTCTTGACTCTAGGGACAGCACTGTCAAGGGTCATGCTTGACCACACGTGGAATGCTGACGACCATGGGTCCACTGGGTGGCCTTGACAGTGTAAGTAAGCCAGTTCCACTCGAACACTTACATCAAGCAGATATGGCACCAGGCAGCAGACAACCTCCACTTGGTGAGGATGCAGCCCTACTTCCTCCTGGGCTTCCCGGAGAGCTGTAGCCACATCATCCACATCTGCTGGTTCAGACTTGCCTCCAGGGAAGCAAACTTCTCCAGGTGACCTTCTTAGCTGGATATTGAAAGAACAGAACTGCGATGTGGGATTTCAATTCTGGTACCACGCACTCATTCAACAAGTAGTTACTGAACTTCTATTTTGTGCCAGAGACCACTCCCACCCTGGTGGTAATAAGGGGGGGAGTAAGACCACCCCCCCAAAAAGTTTTTACTTGAATCCCTTTAAAAAAATGACCTTTGAGAACTTCCTTCACTTGTAATTTTTCTCTACTTGCCCCTAAAAGATACCATACACACGAAACAAGATCTATGCTGATGGGGGAGAAAAGCCAAAAGGAAGTAGAATAAAAAGGGCCATGTTATCAATAGACCGCCTTGACTGAGTGCTTACCCTGCTCTGGGCACGCTGCTTCACAAGAAGTTTTTCCACTGAGCCCTCAGAACAGGTCCACATGCTGTTATTTTTTAAAAGCATTTTTTTTTTTTAATTGAGGTGAAATTTACATAGCCTAAAATGAACAATTTTATTTATTTATTTATTTTAGAGAGGGAGAGTGTGAGCAGGGCGGGAGGGGCAGAGAGAGGAGAGAATATGAAGTAGATTCCATGCTGAGTGTGGAGCCTGACGTGGGGCTCAATCTCGGGACCCTGAGATCATGACCTGGGCTAACTTTGCTCTAGGTTCCAGAACTGGTAGGAGAGCCCATACTGAAGCAGGAGGGATTGAAGACAGGTGCCCCTTCCCCATTTACTGGGAGGAAATCCATGAACTCTACTTGTGTGACTCCAGGAAGGGGTGCAGCTCCAGGAATGCCTGGGAGGGAATTTCTTGCCCCCAGAGCCAGATAGGTATAGAATCAGATCTAATCAGATTTAAATACTCTTTTTTTTGTTTGTTTTTAACGTGATCTTTGCACACCAGAGTTTATGGTCTAAGATGATTCTCACATAATAATCAACAGGCAAAGCTACCTGGGTGAAATAGTAACCAGAGATCCATTTTGGTCTTGCCTCAATTGTCTACATTATTAATCATCTGACAGTCTGAAAAGTAATACTGAAGTGCTTCTCCTCTGCTTTTTGGCAGAGCTGAGAACAGACCCAGGCCCCCTGGTTTCCAGTTAGGTATCTCCTGTTGGAACCTGGATTTTCTTACCTCCTGTGTTATGTGATTGTTGCCCGACCCAGACCCAGAAGAATCCACATGAGTCTAATCCCAAACCTACAAAACTTCAGCTGAGTCCTTGGCTTTCTTTTTCCCCGAGGGGATACTCTTCATTGATGTTCTGCTTTGAAAGCCATGCTTATGGCCCATTTTCATTTTTGTACTTGGGATAACTCTGAAGTTACTGCTTCCCCAACTTTTCCTCAGAAGCACCCTAACAGCAAAGGAGAATGACTGTATCCAGGCGTGTGCCCAGGGGAACTCCATTCCCAGCGCAACATTTCTTTAAAGTAGAGTGGTTTCTCTGAAAACCTCAGGCAATGTCTAGTAACAGCAATAGTGATGGCAGCTGAAACTGACCAGAAACCTTGCCAAGTGCTGGGGCCAGTTTAGGCGCTTCGCATTTGTTTCCCTGGGAAATCCTCGCAGTAGCCCTACGAAGCAAGCACCAGTACTTTGTCCTCATTTTGCAAGTAAAGAGACTGTAGCACAGAGAGGGTAAGTAACTAGGACAAAGTCACAGAGCTGGAAAGGAGAGAGCCTGCATTCAAACATCGGCAGCCAGCTTCAGGGCCCAGGCTGTTAATTTCTGTGCTCCAGAATTTTCACAGTGTACCTGGCGTGGGGTGGGAGGCTTAAACAGTGGCTGTTGGCAGCGGCATTGTGCCCCCCATCCCTGCCAGGACAGGGATGTCTGGAGACATCTGTGGTTGTCACAAAGGGGTGTGTGTGTTTGTGTCCGTATTACTGGCACCTAGTGGGTAAAGCCCAGGGATGCTGCTGAACATCTCACGATGCACAGAACAGCTCCCACAGCAAAGAATTATCCAGCCCAAATGCCAACTGCGCCAAGGTTAAGAAACCCTGGTCTAAAAGTATTTCAAGTTACTTGCTAGCTAAATTGCTTATTTTTCTAAAATTTTCCAAAAAATGCCATGTTATCCTGCGGCTTCTTGGACCCCTGAATATCACAATCTTGAAAGTCCGTTTGAGAATCCATAGCCTCAAAATGTGTGCAACTGACAAATTTTTGTGGGGTTTTCAAATGTCCCGGAACTTGAATGGCAGGAGCCCTTTTGTCACCTACCTTCTCTGACCGGAGGGTGAACAACAGGTGGAGTTTTCCTTCTTTTGCCAACAATGGTAAAAGGACAGAATATTTGTTAGACGACAAGTGAGAATATTTGGTCCCAACATCATGCTTTTTTAAGCGGGCCTTAGCATCATCTATCAAACTGTTTCTAAAATGGAAACAAACCAAACATTTTAGTAACCAGAGTCATGATAAAAAGCTCCTCGTCCTGCCTATGTTTCCGTTTCATTGTGTGTCTTGGAGCTTACCATTCCTGACTCTCATTGTATTTTTCAATAACAGAGCAGAAACGATAACACCCAAATCACATGACTGTTGGCAAGATAAAATGAGCAAAAACTACTAAGGATACAGTTTAGTACACAAGTTCACTTTGAATCTTAAAATAGAAATTATGGTAAAATATTCTTTCAACGATGCAACAGTTAAATGTTGAATTCTTAATTATATTCAAGTAAGACAGGTTTGGTAAACAAGTCATGGTAAGGTTAGACAACTCTCAGCTTAAGGACTTTCTCTTAACCTGGCCCTTATGTTATCAAACCCTTATGTTTTCAGTTGCCTTACAACAGTGGTTCCCAAACTTTAGTGGCAACAGATTTACCCAGAGGGCTGGGCCCACCCCACAACTGCGACTCAGTAAGTTTGGGGTGGGGCCTGGAAGTTAGCATCAAACTCCCAAGCAATGGTGATGCTGATGCTGTGGACCAGGGGAACCCACTTTGAGGACCATTACTGATAATGTGCAAGTATTTGGATATATAATAAGTACATTGGGTGCCCTGAATTCATGACTGTGAATGTTTGGGTCCTTTTGACTGGCATTATTTTGTTGCTGGTTCATGTAGTAGTTTAAATAGTGTCCCCCAAAATTCATGTCACCCAGAAGGCTCAGAATGTGACTTTATTTGGAAATAGTATCTTTGCAGATGTAGTTATGGATCTTGAGATGAAATCATCCTGGGCTCTAAATCCAATGACTGGTGTCCTTGTAGAAGGAGAGGACATAGACACACACATACACACAGAGGGAAGAAGGCAATGTGAAGACACAGGAAGAGACTGGAGTGATGTTGCCACAAGCTTAGGAACATCAACATCCATCAGAAGCTGCAACAGGCAGGAAATTTCAGACATCCAGCCTTCAGAACTATGGGAGAATAAATTTCTGTTGTTTTAAGCCACCACGTTTGTGGTACTTTGTTATGGCAGCCCTAGAAACTAACGGTGTGGTTTTAATTTTTCTCGGGGAAAGGCAGTCTTGCATCCCGGCCAAAATGAGATATTTAAGTCCGGCAGAACTGGTTTTAAAGGGTTTAGGAGTGACCTCTCCAAATCTGTGACACGCTTGAAGAGATCTGTGAGCATGTAATGACACTGCTCACATACTGTGACTGGAATCCGCCAGTGCCCCATTAATGGTAAGGACTGTCATAAATGTCTCCAGCATGAGATGGGCAGTGGCTTGCGGGAGGTGTTTGCTACTTTGGGCCTCTTTCTACGCGGCGGGTTGCTCACTAAAAGTGACTGGGTGACAGCAGTGGATTTCAAAAACGACCAAACACCTGAAAAGCATGCTGGCACTGGAGGGGACTCCGGAGTGCATCCCATGCACACAGGCCCGTGTCCAGAAAACTGGCCCGCCCGAGTTCGCACTGGGCTGAGTGAGTGTGACTTTTGAGAGGCCCCCAAAACTGACCAGAGGGACCGGCAGTAGCAAAAGTCTGCAGAAACGTGTCTGTCCACATTTGGGGCTGGTCCTTGTAACAACCAGCATGAAAACACCACAGTAGCGGCCCCCCTGTTCTGAGCATGCGCTCATCCTACGCACTTTCCACACTTCTCTTTTTCTAGCCTCGTAACAGCCCAGCGAGGTGAGGACGTGATCCCGTCCAGGCTCAGGAAGGTTAGGTAACTGAGAGACCCGAGCCTTGAACCCGGAGCTGCCTGGCATGGGCTGGTGGTTTCTGGGGGTCAAACTCCAGAGAAGCCCTGCGCTGAAGGGGGAAGGCAGCTGGGCAGGGGGAAACGCTCTGCCCGTGGGGAAGGGGCGCGAACCTCTGAGGCTGGGTGTGAGCCCACGGGGCCAAAGCTCGGCCCAGGCGGGCCGGAGGAGGTGCAAAGGCCCCGGGGCCCCCGGGGCGGCCAAGCAGGCTAAGCGCACGCAGCGCAGGCTCTGCAGGTAGGCAGGCGGGCTCGGCGAGAACGGCCCCGGCACCGCGCTCAAGGCCGGGCCAGGCCCTGCTCGGAGCGCCGAGGGCGGGGGGGGGCTTACCTGACCGGCTCCGGGGACGCACAGGGTCCTGACATCGTGCAGGGGAAAGTTTGTTTCCGCCCGGAGACGGCCTCAGAAGGCTCGGCTGGGTGGACATGCGCAGAGCAGCCGCGGCCTGCGGCTGGGGGAGAGGCGGGGCCTAGGAGGCGGGGGATGAGGCGGGGCCTGGGGCCTTAAGGGAGGATCGGGGCGGGGCGAGACGTGGGGGCGGGGCGGAGGGCGGGGCTTAGGGCCGGGCCGTTTGGGGTTGCCTAACGCGGTTTCTGCTCAGTTCCTTAATCTTCCCCAGGAAGGAGAAGCAAATGAGGAATCCCGAGGTTCATCGTTGTAAAAAAGGGAAGGGGGAAAAAAACGTACAAATGCATTGCTGCTGATTTGAGAGGATTCTGACACCCGCATTCACTGTTCTAGGAGGTTAAGTTGGTTCAACTCTTCTGGCCAGCAGTCTACGCGTGTTTCCTGAGCACCTACTGTGCGCTGGCGGGATGCAGGTCCCACAGCGAGCCAAAAGACCCGTGGAGCCTACAGACAAGTGGGAGAGAGAGAGAGACATGGATCACAGAATTGCGTAGATAAAGCAGAGACCTTTAATCCTTAAGAGTATATGACGGAGGGGCGCCTGGGTGGCTCAGCTGTTAGGCATTTGCCTTCGGCTCGGGTCATGGTCCTGGGGTCCTGGTATTGAGCCCCGCATCGGGCTCCCTGCTCAGCGGGGGGCCTTCTTCTCCCGCTCCGCCTGCTCGTGTTCCCTCTCTCGCTGTCTCTCTATCAAGTAAATAAATAAAATCTTAAAAAAAAAAGTATATGAGGTAGAAACGTGGGTGAAGCACGTCAGAGAGGGCTTACCAGAGACAGTGGAAATGGGGCGGGCCTCCAAAGCATCTGTGCTCCAGGTATGGTCCTCGGACCAGTGCATGAGCATCACCTGGGTGCTGTTAAGAATGTACATTCTGGAGGGGCGCCTGGGTGGCTCAGTCGGTTAAGCGGCTGCCTTCGGCTCAGGTCATGATCCCAAGGTCCTGGGATCGAGCCCCACATCGGGCTCCCCGCTCAGCGGGAAGCCTGCTTCTCCCTCTCCCACTCCCCCTACTTGTGTTCCCTCTCTCCTGTCTCTCTCTCTCTGTCAGATAAATAAATAAAATCTTTTTTAAAAAAATGTACATTCTGGGCTCCACCCCAGAGCTGCTGGATCAGAAACTGGGGTAAACCCCAGCAATCTGTGCTGTAAGAGGTGTGTGATAATCGGAGAGCTACTGTAAGGTATGTGTGGAAAGCAAATAAGGGAAAGAGGCAGGGGAGAGGGTCCCAGAAAGAAGAATAAGTTTGTGCAAAGACCCCAGAAGTGGCTGGAAAAGAGTGAGTGGGAGGAAGCCTGGTTTGAGCTGACACTTGCAAGACACCAGACTTCAAAGACTTAAAGCCAGGCTGACTTCTCCATCAGGCAGAGGCACAGGAGGTACAATGGCTGGGGCCCACAGTAACTTTGGGCGCTCACAAAAATGTTTCAACTTATATTCTTTTAAAATCAGAAGAAGAGGGGTGCCTGCATGGCTCAGTCGGTTAAGCATCTGCCTTCGGCTCAGATCATGATGCCGGGGTCCTGGGATGTGCCCCTCGTTGGGCTCCCTGCTCCGCGGGGAGTCTGCTTCTCCCTCTCCCTCTGCCCTTACCCGCCCCCCACCAGCTCATGCTCTCTCTCTCTCCCAAGTAAATAAATAATCTTTAAAATCAGGAGAATAAAATGAATATAATGATAAGCAACATGAAATAATGAATGCAGCCTGGGTTACATCCTTCCTTATACCAGGGCAGTCATAAAATATAATTATTTTGTTATCATTTTATGGAGGAAGGGGTCCACAAAAACAATATTGCCTAGAGCCCCATGAAAGTCACAGGGTGGCCCTCGGTCATGAGACAGTTGAGCCACAGTTCCCAAGACCTTTAAAACCACTCAGCTCAGATATTCCCCTAGCCAGTACTTGCCAAGGCTGGAAGAACCCAAACTAAAAGCTTGATGACATCCAAATAATAATGCTAATGGCGCATTCACCCACATTAGCGAACTTAATTTGAGCAACTGCACGATGTTATTTCCATAGGGCCATTACCCTCCTCACTTTCCAGATTGGGAAATAAAAACATGTGTAATATCACATGGCTAGGGTTCAAGATTAGCTGGTTCTGACCTCTGTGTTCCTTTCTTTTGACACTCAGAGGCAACTGACCTATGAATTATGTGGATCTGATTATGAATGAGGAGACAAATTACACCCCTCATCCAATATCCACTGTATAGCAGCTGTGTGCTAGCCATGTCTAAGATGGGGCCCCTTGACCTCTAAGGCCTCCTGCTCTCTTGGGCGGTCTACGCCAATCAACAGGACCCTCAGCTCTCGTAATTCAGTGTGTTCTCAGCTCTGGATGAGAAGGGATGGGAGAGGGGTTCAGGATTAAGTTGAGGGCTGAAAATCATTGTCTGAGGCTTTTATTTGCGCTTCTTTTAGACATCCTTTGATTGAATCTTCATTTTGAAGGTGAGCAAGCTGAGGCTCAGAATGGTTGAGTGCCTTGCTCATGGTCATACAGAAGGTAAATGGTGGATCCAGGTTCTGATCCCATCCACCGAGCTGCAGGTGGCACTCCAGTGGGATCCGAGAGATAGGTGGGATTTCAAGAGGCCAAGGTGGGAAGTCGACATTCTGGGAAGAGGGAAGAGCAGAAGCCAAGCTTGGGTGAAGAGTCTTGTTCAGAGGGGGAGGCAGTATAGTGGAGCTGGAACAAGAAGGGACGTTTTGCAGAGTAGAGCTCTGGGAAGAGGTAAAAAGGCTTTGGAAGCCAAAGCAAGATGGAAGTTGAACTTCTTCCCAAAGGGAGAGGAATAACAGGTCAGGGGTTCCCAGAAAATTTCCGTGGAAGCAGGGTGGGAATGGATTGAAAGTGGGGCAAGGCCAAGAGGTGATCAGAGGGCTCTTCCAAAAGTCGGGGCCCAAGGAGCAGAAAAGGAAGCTTTAAATCTTCGGAAAAATTCACACACTCCCCAAATCAGAAAGTCAAGAGTGTGGCAGGGGTTTGGGTTACTTTAATGTATAACGTGGTGTCCCGAGATGCTTTGCTGTGTACCAAGGCTAAACGCACAGCGTCTTCTTTCAAGATCAGAAAAACTGCTGTAAAAATACTTAGTTTTTATGGCTTTTGTAAGGCTGGAAGCCACAGCACAGGGAACATCACAAGGTGAAATGCATCATAATCAGATTATATATGTATGGGTGTGTGTATATCTCTGCAGCTGCAAAACAACTGAGGCTTTAAGGTTAACCGGCAATGTCTTTTAGGGGAAATGACTGGTCTCTGTAGTTTTTGCATGCAGATTTGTTGGCAGTGACATAATTCTGGAAAATGTGTCAAAGAGAAGCAAAGCTCTGACAAGGGCCAGGCCAGCCTGCGAAGCTCACACCTCCCTGGTGCAGTTCCATCAGAGAAGCACATCCCAGAGGCCAGGGGGGTCCTTATCTGCAGTCCACCTACCTGGAAACTTTATTTGAGCAGCACCTCAGGGCCAGCCGGGGTGGTACAGAGATAAGAAAATACCAATCAGCCTTCAGGAGCAAAGGATATCTGGGGAAAAGACCTACAACAAACAATTAGCTTTAATGCCAGGTAAGTGCTTTAATCCAGGAAAAGGGCTAAATGCTCTGGGGAGTGAGGAGCCCCAGTGAACAATGAATTCTGCCTGGACGTAGGCAGTGGGGTCTAGGTAGGCTGTGGAGAGCGGGTAAGATCCCAGGGAACATCTAGTACTGAGCATTATTTTCCTAGGCAATCTGAGTTTCCTCTAGTCCTTCAGTTTGCGGGAGTGTCTCCAAATTCTTGGAGGGAAGTCTTAGGGGAAGACTTTCAGAGTAAGTCTCACATGCACAACCAAGCATACTGGCTACATTTGCCAAGGAGACGCTTCCCTCCTCCCCCCTGCCAGCTCACAGCCCCAGCCTCCATCAACTCTCCCCCACCCCCAAATCAGACTGAGTTACGGAGCCACAGCCTTCCCCCCTTTTAAGGAGAGGGAGTTGAGAGAGTTCTTTGAGGACTAGGTTTAAAGAGGAATTTCTCTAGGGCTCAGTGGTCCTCAGCCTCAAAATCACCTGGGGCCAAGGATGCTGCATGGACACCTCAGTGCCCCAAATCCCACCCCACATGTACTTATCTCAGGGTAAAACCCACCTAGGAACATGCATTTCTGAGCAAGCTTCTAGGTGATTCTGCTGTAAAGGTTGAGGACACTGGGTTAAGGTTTCCAAAAGGAGATGTTTGATGTTGAGAAGATAAAGCCACCTCCCTCTAGCACTTGCTAATGTGGCAGGCTCAGAAGGAAGGACAGATGGTGGCCACCATGCCAGAAGCTATAATTCCTGGTACCACTGGAACAATCTTCCTTTCTGGTCTTGGGAGTTGACAGTTTGGGCAGATCCATCTCAGGAGAGGCTCCAGGGAAACTGAGTGGATCGTTGTATAGAAAGTAGGCTGGGGTGGACAGATTCCTACATGATGCGGTCCTTGCCTTTTTTTTTTTTTTAAGACCTGTTGGAAAGGAAAGAGTTTATGAGTCTGGGTCAGTACATTCTCTGGTCAAGTGTCCATTCTTGGCTAGGCATGGAGTTGGGTGTTAGAGATATAGAGACACATAGCAGTTGGTCTTCTCTCTTGAGGGTTTGGGATCGAATATGGCGGTGAGTAGTTTTAGTCTGCAGAAGAATCTTCTGGGGCTGATTAAACATGTAGGTTCTGGGTGGCTCAGTCGGTTTAGCATCTGCCTTCTGCTTAGGTCATGATCCCAGGGTCCTGGGATCGAGTTCTGCATCGGGCTCCTTGCTCGGCATTGTTCTCTCTCTCTCAAATAAATAAGTGAAATCTTAAAAAAAAAAATGTAAGTTCTTGGGCTGTGGCCTCAGGGATACTGACAGAGGGAGCTGCAGACAAAGGGAGAAACAGGCTCCCTGCCGAGCAAGGAGCCCTATGATACAGAATTCATTGTGCTCTCTCTCTCAAATAAATAAGTGAAATCTTAAAAAAAAAAAGTAAGTTCTTGGGCTGTGGCCTCAGGGATACTGACTCAGGTGGGGCCCAAGCATCC